TCGTACTTTTTTAGACATTTAAAACTGACATTGAGTAAACGGATAAACCATATTATTCGACGTAGCTAATTATTTCACGACTGTATCTTTCCATACACTAAAAGACTTATGCTTTATTATTGTTTAGCACAGATTAGTTCCAATCAAATAAAGTATTGAAAGCTCCAACTAGTGCTCGGAATTTTTTAAATCTGAAATTCGAACACTTGTTTAGTGGTTTATTCGAATACTCAAATATCTAACGAATATTCGAATAGTCGAGTATTCGAATATTCGTTTTCAGTTCACCGTTTTCTTAGAAGAAAAGAAAGAAAAAAAAATCGTTATTTCATATCATTTTTGGCAACGGATAAAAAAGTGCCTTTGTCGGCACGTTAATTGTAACACCGCGCAAAAGTTGATGATGCGTATCACCAGAACACAGAGACGTAATTTTATATCCATTTGTTGGAGAGCAAATTATTATTTTGATTATATTTCTTACCTCTATATTAGCTAATAAAACCACGAAACGTCTAACCCAAACTATTAAATATCAAAGAGTAGAAAAGTAGTCTGAAAATATGTCGAAGCTTTTGATACAAGACAACACTGTAGGGCTTCCTAACAAACGTGAGCCATCCGCGAGTATATATCATTCAACTGAAATATGTAAAGATTATTCTTAAATGAATTCAATTTAAGAGCCCCTCTTGCCTCACAACCCGGGCTTCATTTCATCTGTTGTATTTAGCGGGCTTTGCATCATCCGTAGGAAGTATATATATATAGCGACATTTGTCCAGCTTGGGGTGCCTGAGAAGATATATCCCTTCATAGTTAGCATAGTTCACTTCTGTTGTGTGCTCTACTGACCTGAGCCCCAATCCTCCTATGTTCACTGGGAGGTATACCGTTGCATTGGAGGAGGATTTGCCCTTCAGTTTGTGCTCAACCAACATCTTTCTGATGGTCTTGGCCAGTTGTCGGCATCGCTTGAGGGTAGTGCTTCTCTTCTCGTCTGAGAAGACATTTGCTGTCACATAGGTAACTGCAGAATGAAGTGTTGCAATCTTTTGCGCTGGCGCGAGCTGCGAACCCAGGACCAGGCCAAGCCTTTTCGACATCTGCTCCTCAATCCGGGAATAGTTTTCCTCCGGGTCTTTCTCCAGCTGTAGAAAGCCCAGGTGTTTATAGCCCTGCAGGACCTGTGGGTGAAACGGTTCCAGGTCTCCATATCCGTCCCTCGCCCCCGTTGTTCTCGTGTAGTGCCCACATTTAGGTATGTTTAGCTCGAGCCCGATTTCTCCAGCAGCCTTTGTTAGCTCCATTGTGATTGTTTTTAAGCTGGACTTTGTAGGAACGTGGCATTTTATATCTCCCATGAAGGCGAGGATTCGGTGTTTTCCCCTGCTCTGTTTTCCGATCTTGGGGCTACAGTTCACGTGTCTGACCAATATCGCCGTGACCAGCATGAAGAGGAGCGGGCTCATCGAGTCCCCCTGAAACACTCCTCTCCGGACCGGGATTGGCGCGGTTTTCCGGTTCGGATACGGAGGGACCAAATTTTTATGGCCAATTTTGTGGCCGCTCTAATGTTGCGGTGCCGCGGCAGGGCAACAATGAGCTTCTTGAGGGCGCAGTGGTGGACAGAATTGAACGCCTTGAAGAAGTCATACCACGTCGAATGGTTTGCGGTAGTCCGCTTCCTTGCTAGGGTGGTGATGCTCTTATCTTCGAGCAGGCCGTGGGTGGTAGCGCAGATGTTTGGCTGGGCGAACTGCTCTGGGGAGATTGCGCAGTCCGGGAGTGACTCTCAGAGTGACCGTGATTACTTACTGTGATTATAGTATATTACTTTATGTACTTATATCTAGAGTATTTACAAGAAACATATTAATGAAACTGAATTAACTTGCAAATTGTTTGCTTAAAGTTACGTACGTAGACATCGCAGCGCCAGGAGTCTCGGTTAGCTTTTGGTGGTCAATCTTCTAATCAAAAGGTTTGTTGTCGATATGGCCACACTATAGCTGATTCGATTTTAAAGAATTTGCAATTCTCTGGCGGAGACCATCAGGTGTTGCTTGAGGATGGTCTGAAACGATTTAATTTCTCCTGTTTGAAGTATTTCTCCGTAGCAGCCTACTACGCAACTAGCAAACTTGACTGGGCATTTGTGGATTCGTGCCAATTCGCCGACTAGTGTTATGTCTCTCGCTGTGTTATCTTGGTTGCATCTGTTTTTTGTCTAGAGTTTATGGTGTATCTAGATTTTTTTAGTAGCTCCTGTCGTCTGATATTTTGTAGGTGGGACACCGCCACTTCGAATACAAAGATTTGATCTGGGTTGGAGAGTTTCACCACGATGTCCGGCTTATTGTGGTACAGAGGGCGGTTGGTCAGTATTTTTTTCCGGCTATATCTTCTCCATCCGTCCAAAGTTGGGGATCTATGGACAAGGATTTCAATTTTTGCACCCTCGGATATTACGAGTCTTCCATACTGCATGTATTCCTCTTTGAGCTGGATGAATATTTTGTCTTTAATGGTGTTTGTCACCATGCGACAGCATTCTTGTATGTTGTCCATGTTATCAGGTATGTTTACGTCATAGTATTCAAGCACCCACTTCATATCACTTATAGGGTTTCTCCAGCCAGCTGTCTTTGTGGTCTACCAGAGCCTTTCGTATTTTCTTGTCTATGTCTCTGCAACATTTCAAGCTCGAGCTCCGTTTATCCTCTGGGAATATATTAGAGGTGATATACGTTACAGCTAGGATTATAGTTGAATTTAGTAGGCTAATTTTTTGAGCGTTGTTAGTTTAGATTCCAGTATGATCCCTAGCTTATCTTCTAGTTGTTGACCTATTTTATTATAATTTTCTTCTGTGCCTTTATTGAGCTGTGTTAGGCCCAAGTATTTATATGCTTGCCCAATTTGTGGTAGAAAGGTTGTCTGGTCTGGATTGTTTTCTCCGGAGTATTGGCCACATTTCTCAAGATTTAATTCCAATCCAATATCCATTGCTGCCTCATTAAGTGCTGTTGTAATCGTCTTAATTATCGCTTTAGTAAGAGCATGGCACTTGATGTTGCTCATGAATGCTAGGATTTGGTGTTGACCTTTCGATTTTTTTTATTATGTCTGTGTTGTGTTTCACGTGATTTCTGCTCGGTGAGGTCAGCAGTAAAAAAAGTAATGGGCTCATTGAGTCCCCTTGAAGTAGTCTTCTCCTTACTGGGATTGGAGTTGTTTTCAGGTGGTTGATTTGGATTCTTGATGACCACAGTTTGATGCAGGTTTTTATGGATTTTATTATCATTTCATGGATGGCTAAGGTGTCGATTA